AATGGTCTCGAAATAAGGTAATTTAACTATGGCAATCATCTAAGATTGCTGATCCCCGGGGTCTAAGGCATGAAACTAATTACAGAAGTACATTAATACATGACTTGCGTGCTGTCTTTTCACAAATGGTGAGGAATTTGCTCTAATGATTCATTTTTCACAATGTGCATTTGCTCCTTTAAGCCGGATATCTGATTCACACATGAATTTACCCAAACCAACACATAAAGTGAAGTAGGAGTGACCGGGGCAAGTTGTCACAACAGTAACTATACTGTTTACAGTCCAAAGACAAATTGCACAAATGCTTGTTTTCTCTAGCAGTGGTTTTTATATGTTGTAATCAGGCACCTACTTTGAATATGTTCTTTTATTTCATAATTCATCATATTTTTATAACAGCTGTTATGTAAACAAGTAAACATAGTAAACGAGCAGACAAGAGTCGACTATATAATAATGATTTAACAGAAAGGCTTAACTGTTCTCAAGATGAGCATTTTTTTTCTTCTAAATGTCAGGTCGAGACAGGTTGGCATATGGTTTTTATGTTGTAATCGTATACAGTTTATTATTTCTTATGACCATCACAATGTGGTGATGATTTTTGTTTTTGTGCATATCTGTTTTCATTCTGTTTCAAATATATAAGTCTGTTTCATCTTTCATTAATTGGTGTTTAGTAATTATGTTGATGTTTACATTTTGATTCAAAGCTTACAATAGGCTACTCAATGGCAGGATAATGCTTGTGTTAGAAGGTCATTATTTATAATAAATAAAAAAGAAAATATGTAGAAAGAATAGAGAATGCTAGTGTTAAAGGCTCTTTTCTTCTTAAATAAAACAAGTAGTTAGAATAGAAATAGAATAGAGAGTGCTAGAGTTAGAGGGTCAAATGAATATGAAAGAGATGTGTTTTCAGCTGTTTCTTGAAAATGATTAAAGGGGTCATATGATGCTTTTTTAAAGATCATTATTTTGTGTATTTGGTGTAACAGAATATGTTGACATGCTTTAATGTTCAAAAAACACATTATTTTTCAAATACTGTACATTATTGTAGGTCCTCTATGCCCCGCCTCTCTCAAACGCTTCGTTTTCTACAAAGTCCCTCCTTCCGACAAGCGCAGTCTGCTCTGATTGGCCAGCTGACCCAGTGCATTGTGATTGGCCGAACACCGCAAGCACTCGTTAGAAATGTAACGCCCCTTACCATAATCGCGAGCTTCATCTTTCAAAATAAATGTAAAGACAGAGCCCGAAAGGGGAACAGAGTCACGTGACAGACACAGTGATGAAGCTGGTATGTGTTTGCAGTACACAAGCCACGGTTAAGACAGCTGACTCCACTGTGATGTGACCCTGTCTCTCTCTC